GTCCGCAATGGGGGAAAATGCAAAAAACGGGGTCCCAGGCCAACCTGATGAGCTGCGGCAAGCGTCATGTTTAATTAGTTAAAGTTCTAAATCCGTTAAATAAGTTGATTTTTTTAATGTAGTTCACTTTAACTGGTGATTTTTAACCGTGGACAAAAAAGTTATTGTTGTTGTTGGAGACAAGTGACGAGTGACGAAGGCTCTGACGACTGCCTCACCCCTCCCCCCCCCGCTTGAGTCCAGTTCCGACAACTCGAGAAGAGAGCTTCTCCCAACGTAAGAAAAAAAACAGGTAAAAACGCAGTAAACAAGTAAGTCATTCAATTTTATTGTAAATAAAACACAGCAATTTACAAAATACTAATTCTATCAAAATGCTACAGTTCAGTCGTTAAGATACATTCTAAATGCTAAAAACAAATCAAAAATTAATACATTCAGTTTGTATGCCAATGTAGAAATTCATTTTCAGCCTTGGCTCATTTCATTTAAGAAAGAAGGAAATTTAAATTTATATTAAAACCAAGGAGAACATGCAACAAAACACTAGTGGTTGTCTTTACACTAGGCTGTTAAGTAAGACTTAGGAGCTGCCAAGTTTTACTTAACCAAAAAATACGTGTGAAGGCCTAAGTAAAATCTCAAGTAACTTTACTTTGCATCTAATTAAAGTCGGAAAGTTGAAACGATTTAAGAAAGTTTCAAGTGACTTGAAAACCATCCTTAAAACCGACTTAGCAATCTTGCGGTTTCTAAGCTTTGAGAAAAGCATGTCAATCAATCTCAATTATGTTCCGTGGGAAAATAGGCTTAAGTAAACCTGAAGTAAAAAAGATAGGTTGTGTGTGAAGCTTTGTTCTACTTGAAGAATTTAAAATTTACTTGTCTTGAAATATTTCTTAGCTTATTCAGGCTCTAGTGTAAAGACTACCACTGAGTTTCCAAGAACTTGTACTGCCTACGCCGCAGCTGAAGGGGTGGGGGGGGGGTTGTTTAGTTTATGGTTTGCAAAGTGAGAGATGTCTCTCAAACACACCAAACTAGCTAGTCTAGGTAGGATAAAGAACTTGTTGATCACAAACTCTGTATTGTTTCATTAAAACGTTAAGAATTCGAACAATGTCCAGCCATCTTGACCTGCTCAAGCTTGGTCAGTAAAAATAACGTGGCATATTTACAAAGCTTTCTGTTAAACCCAGAAATGGCTATTACTAATTAAGAGATAAGAAATATTAACTCCATTTGCATGTACGCTGCTTTCTGTTAAACCAAAGTCTAAATACAAATTAACTAACTCATAACATTACTTGGTAGAAAGTCTGGACAAAAAAACAACTTAAAGAATGCTGCCTTGTAAGGCAACTTTGGTTTTGATTCTAAAAATTTGAAGTAATCGTGAATCTAGATATCAAAACTAAAGACTGGTTATTTAGACATATTTTAGACAGTGTTTAACAGAACTTCAGCAGTCTAAACTATTTTTCAATTTTACAATCCTTACTGCATACATCTCAGCTTAATATTGGTTGCTGTTAACAGCATTAAAAAGGCTTCCAGGCCAGGCTAGAAAACCATTTTATTAATTACCTACTTTTTAGGGCCCAGAGTTTTCTGTAAACTTCTTTCTATTAGTAAGGCTTTGTTTTAATAACCAACCCTAAAACTGAATAGTGTTCTGGGCAAAATAGCTAAACTCTAGAGCAATCACATACTTGGTAAGACCTGGTAATAAATAAGGCCAGTTTAGCTGCTGAATTAATATTTGACAATTAATTCAGGGGGCAGTGTATCAAGAATGTTCTCAAGGTTTTTTTAGTGTAAGCTACAGGAGTATGAAGGCACACTGATTCATGCAGAATTACACAAAAACAGATTGGCAAAACGATTATAAGGGTTTATAGTCCACTTTCGTTTTCTAACATAAAACTCTTTTCAATGACTTCTAGAAAGGCCAAGATTACTACTACATGTAAGTGGACCCATAATGATGCATGTACATGTATTTGTTGGGTTCTGAAGTAGCATAAACCCTTGATGACACTGCCTCTAAAAAGTATTTGGAAAGTCTGGCACTTGTATAAAACTAACATTAGCTATTCAATAAAATCGATCCGCCAATTTTCTTGCTCCCTATATAGCTAGCCAAAAAAGGAATTCAGACTTTTTAAACTGGCCTTTGTTCATGTTACTCCAGACTATTGAAATCAGTTCAGTTCCAATTGCAATTCCTTTCGCCAGTCACGTCCCTCGCTGTGCGCAACCCGCATCGCTTTCAGCAGACTTCTATTTTGTCGCTCAACCTCGCTGTGGACCATTGTCTGTTTTTATTGACAGCGGTAGTCCATGAGTAGCAAACATTGCTTCCAGACGGCTAATCATTTTGCCAGATGTCACTGATTTGGTTACAGCTACTTCAAAGAATCGACTAAAATAATCAACAACCACGAGTACATATTCACCCGTCGGAAGGGGTCCTAGCAGATCTACCGCAAGGTCTTGCCATGGCTGTGTAGGCAACTCTGTTCTCTTCATTGGTTCTGGGGGCAAAGGTTTCCCGACAAGCTGGCAACCATGACATGTTCTGCACCTTTGTTCTGCTTGACGGTCTATACCGGGCCACCATACTTTGGTACGGAGTCTTTGCTTGGTCTTAACGATCCCTTGATGGCCCTCGTGTGCCAGATCCAGTACTTGCTTGCGAAGTTTCATCGGAATGACTAATCTAGTTCCTCTCAACACTAACTTTCCTAGCACAGTTAACTCGTTTCTCACAGCTTTAAAAGCTGGCTCGCCGACAGCCCAATCATTGGTCTGAACACACTTCCTTAACATTGCAATTTCTTCATCTTCAGCAGATGCTTCTTCAATTTCCTGGATAGGTATGGCTCTAGGGGCTGCATTCTCTACAACATACCGAATGTATTCTTCCGCCACATTTTTGCTCTCGTTTGAAATTTCTTGGGTTAGGCGAGATAAAGCATCAGCTATGTTCTGTGGGCCTGGACGATACATCACTGTAAACTCATATGGCTGAAGTCGTAAGACCCATCTTTGGATTCTCGCAGAGGGCTGAGATTTACTTGAATAGATCACTTCAAGTGGTTTGTGATCAGTTTCCAATTCGAAATGTTTTCCATATAGATAAACATGGAACCTTTCGCAAGCCCAGACTGGAGCCAGAGCTTCTCTTTCTGTTTGAGAATATCTTCTTTCAACTGCTGTTAGACTTCGGCTTGCGTAGTAGACTGGTCTCCAATTGCCATTTTGTTCTTGAGCAAGAACAGCACCCAGTCCAACTGAACTTGAGTCAGCAATGACTCTTGTTTTGGCATCTTTGTCATAGTAAGCTAATGTTTCTGCACTTGCTAGTGTTTCCTTCAGAGCTTTGAACGCTTCTTGTTGCTTCTCACCCCATTTGAAGGTTACACCTTTTCGTGTCAGCTGTCGAAGTGGTTCTGAAACTGTGGCCAGATTTGGAATGAATTTTGCACTGAAATTCACAAGTCCCATAAAACGTCTCACCTCGGCTACAGACTCAGGCTCTCTGGCGTTGACTACTGCTTCAACTTTGGATTCTGTCGGTCCAATACCACGTGTAGACGATAGGTATCCCATAAATTCTAACTGGGGCATCTTGAATTTGCACTTCGCACTATTCAAGGTCAAACCTCTTTGTTGCAATCTTTCTAGCAGCTTCTCGAGCCTCTCATCATGTTGCTGGTCATCTTTACCATGAAGAATGATATCATCAGATATATTACGCACTCCTTCACATGCATGCAGAGCTTGCTGGACAGCATGCTGATAGATCTCAGGAGCTGAGGTTACACCAAACATTAATCTCTTGTAACGATAAAGTCCAGCATGTGTTGTGAATGTTGTGATGTCACGTGATTCTTCACTCAGTTCCAGTTGATGATAGTCCCATTTAAGGTCTAACTTAGAGAACACACTGCTTTGGGTCATGTCCTGGAGGACCTCATCGACAGTGGGAATTGGGTGTCTTTCTCTCACAATAGCTTCATTCGCTCTGCGCATATCAACGCACAATCGAATCTCACCACAAGGTTTGGGAACTACTACTATTGGGCTGACCCACGGTGTTGGTCCTTTCACTTTCTCAATAATGTCCAGCTGCTCTAACTCATGCAACTTGCTCTCTACTTTCTCTCTCAGACTGAATGGCACTCGCCTGGGATGCTGAACAACTGGATTGACTTCTTTATTCACATGGATCTCAACTTGATAATCAGTTAACTTGCCCACTCCTTCAAAACATGCTTTGTATTTATTAACAAGGTCTGGTGTACTTACAACATTAACTTGTGGTCCCAGTCTTAGTGCATCTAATTCCATGGCTGTCTTCCTGCCCATTATTGGCCTGCCTTCATTGCAGATGACAATAAATTCAGCTGTGACATCTTTTCCAGCTAGGGTTACTGATGCTTCGAACTTTCCCAGTGTGTCCAGTGGTTCTGAAGTTCCATAAGGATACAATTTCTGATTTGTCTTTCTGACTTGCACTTTATCCCTTTTTGCTTCAATTCTTCCCACGTCTTCTGATCAATGATATTACATGATGATTCTGAGTCGATGAGAACTCCATTAAGAATGACACCTCCAACTTGTAAATCGACTATCTCTGATCCACTCCTGTCCCATGTTTTACCGAGTCCCACAGTAAAAGCATATTCATCATCTTCACCATCCTCCACGCAGTTGACTTTTCCTCGTCCACCTTGTTTCCGTGTGTCCTTTTTCTTCTTCTCTTGTTTACTCTTTGTCCTGTAGACTGAAGCAAAATGTCCTGCCGTGTGACACTTTGTACAGGTTTTAGATCTTGCCGGACAATACTTGTCACGTGCGAAATGTCCACTTTGTCCACATCGGTAACATTTCAGACTCTTCTGATCACTTTTCCCATTTCCTCCAGGTTTGTTGTCTTCCTTGATGGCATTAACAGACGCTCCCACATCACCTTCGATCTGTTTGGCTTGGGTTTAAGATAACTCCAACGATCGAGCAATCTTCTGCGTGTCTGCCAATGTTAGCTCTTGTCCCTTTCGCAGAAGTTTTCGCCGAAGCTCGGTGGACTTGCACTTATCAATGATTTGATCACGTATTTGCTCATTCTTCGTAGCACCAAATTCACAATTCGCAGCTTGATTACTGAGCCTTACAACAAATTGATCGACCGTATCATGCTCTTCTTGCTTCATTGGGCGAAAAATGTGTCGCTCGTATGGTACATTTACTTGTGGTGTAAAGTATGCATCGAGTGTTCGAGGTGCAGCCTTGTATGCATCGTCGTCTTCCCCTGCAGGTGCATCCGGATCCGTTAGGGTTTCAAAGACTTCTTGGACTTCCATCCCTGCGCAATGTAAAAGCAACGCCTTTTTTCGAGCGGCTGCTGTGATTCCACGACCATCGACGTAAAATTGAAATGACTTTCGCCATCGCCGCCATCTTGGCCCCACACTCGTGCTATCTCCTCGACAATCAAATGGCTTAATTCCGCGAAGTTCGTCATTTGTCGCCATAACTTTCCTTCAAACAGACGTATCTTCGTATCACGTTATCCTCGTCGCCAATTGTAGTGTTTCACGGTCAGTGAAACATCCGGATTTAACCAAAATAAATGCACACAACAACAGATTCAACTCGACACTTGACCATATGCTTTTAATTACCCATAACTCATTTCGACCATACAGAATTACATCATCGATACTACACCTAAAAACCCATTTATGCTTAAAAATATCTCACTTAAAATATGAAGGTGATATTATATGATACAAAAAGCAACAGCAACCCTTTATCAGTTTATAATAGGCCTGTTCAGTGATGAGCATTTAATTTCTCATTGTAACAGGACCGTAGCTAGGTTTTTTAACCCGGGGGGAGGGGGGGGGGGCATTATCATGAGTGCTGAAGGCACAAGCCTTGTCGGGGGGGGGGAGTCTGGGGGTATCCTCCTCCATAAAAATTTTCAAATTTGGAGGCTCCGAAATGCCATATTCTATCCCAGGATTCTGGTGCAGCCTGTACTGTAACTAGTACTCCAGTAGTGAATATTACAGGCACTCTCTGCAAATTAGACCGAACCTTGCAAATAGTACATATACACGCCAATTTCAATAGGGGGTTTTGCTTCTTTTAGTTTACTATTTGCACACACTGTGGACTAACCAATTTCTTGGCCATGAAAAATGGTAAAAAGTCGATTGCAAGTCACTACAATCAAAATTATAAACTGAGTCTAAAGAAAACAAATCCATCCGCAGACTTGATTTGCATGGCTCAACAGCAGGTCCGGGGGGAGTTACCCCCCAGCTAGCTACCGCTCTGTATAACAATTGCTGCTTAAACAAAGATCACCCACATTAAAGAACTGGTCAATGTTTACTGATGTACAGCTGTAACATGACCCTTTTGACTCTAAAAGTGATGAGAATGTAATTTCTCACTATTGGACCTTAAGGTCCTTTGCAGGAATCTTTGCAAGGTTATATGATCCTTTAAATCACGTTTGTTAATCCCTGAAGATCCTACAAGTTTTTCTTTTCTTTTTCAGCCTAGTGGAGTGGAAACTTAACCCTTATAGGAACAAATCCCTAACTGACTTCTGATTCACTACTAAATTCTCCCTTGACTTCGCTGTGTTGATGCTTTTGGATCACAGGGAGAATTTGATATTGGATCAACTGTCACTTTGTTATTATTTTTCTTTATTCTACACACCCCTTCAATTGTTGTTTAAAACTAAAATAAACTCAAAGACATAACCGCAAGTGAACAGTGCAAATTATCTTATTTGTGAATGTCGATCATCAGAGGCAATGTTTGAATTTTGCTACATGTACAATTTATAAACAGTTGGTTAATTTTGGCTTCACTGGGTGTGACTGGATTATCCATTTTATGTACAGCTGTTAATACATAAATTACTTAAAACATTTTTAAAATCAATAACCGACTAATAGTAAGCATGAGTTGACATCTTTTTTTAGTTGTTTATCAGATGTCAAAATCCTAGTGGTGATAATAATGACCTTGTTAGCTGATGACTTGGGAACAAGGCCATAATATTGAGAATGTTAATAATTAATATACAAAAGGTCTTAAATTATTTTACAGCCTTTTGTATATAGGCAATGATGTCATAGCTTCTTTTCAAGTTAATAACAAACAAATTTCATGTATAAACTCTCACTAACACTCAGACAACACCTTATTCGCTTTTTTTTTTGAGGTTTTGTTTGCTTGTTTTTCATAATCACGTTAAAGAGAGTTTACAGTGTATTTACTCAGCAGAAACTCAAAAAAATCCCCCCGCCCCCCCAAAAATCTCTTTGTTTTACCTACATTGCACTTTTAATTAATGATTTTCACTGTCTTTCAGAAAACGTTTAACAAAAAAATAAACTTACTGATTTTTCACATACCAAAACAACACGTCCTACGCTTTTTCCTGACCACTTGAAAACTTTGCTGATTTTCCCCTGGTCAAGAAGAATCATATTTTTTATAAGCATATATTTATTGAATATTATAGCTTTTTAATGATTATCCCTGACTATGCAGGTAACACTGTCATTGACACTGGCTGTGCTACTTTTAAATATTCTATAATAACGATTTTTAAAACTAAAATTCCCAGAGCAATAGTGTCAACATTAATTATATATTATTTATATACACCTACAGCTGTATCTTCCCATAATGAACACTTACAATTATCTTCATCTTTAAGGTACTCGCTGCAAAGTTACCTACACTGTATAACAACAATTAAAGCAGGAGATTGGTCTTAAGACTGTTCAGAGATCAAAGTTTTCATAAGCCAAACTTGACTTTCTAATTCAGATCAAATTTTCCTGGAGCAGATTTCAAAGGTGTTCTTTGGTGTGGCATAGAATTTTGCTGGAGCATTTTAAGCATAAAAACCTGAATCTACAACGAAAGGAGTGTAATAGAAAAGCTGGTAAATAGTGAGGATGTTTTTGTAAACCAGCTGAATCTGGATTGTAGTATATTTTTCCATTCTGCACAAATTATTAATATCAATATAGTCCACTAATTGTCAAAGAAACAAAAGAATGTTACTGTACTTACAGTAAACACACCCTCGCTAATGAGAACCTGTGGTTTAAGAACCTGCTGGTAGCACTTAAAACTACCCAATAGTGCAGTATGTGGGTTACAGGTAAATTTTGTTACATGTAAGTATTTTAACCAAGGAGTTTGACTTCAAGAATACTGCACAAACTCTAATTAGAAATAGCAGTTAATTCCTACAACAAAAAATGGTTTAAAAAGAGTACAGATTGTAATCATTGTAATGGACCTTGCATAATTAGTAGCTTTGCAATGTACCTGCAGTTGTGAATAAATACACTGTATATTTAAGGAGCAAACTCATACAAGTTTCTTTATTTTTCTGGTGATCCTTCATGAAGAAATTAAGAATCTACATTCAGAACCAACTTAGCCTAAATGAGTGTAGCTAATATGTAAATTTTGTGGTTCGTGAGTAGGGGTTGTGGGTGGGGGTAGTGGGGGTGGGTCATAAGTGTGGGTAAATGTCGTGGGTAAAAAAAAGTATACAAACAAAGAACTAAAAAAAAGTTGTAAAATTCCTGAAAAGAAGATCTCCGCATACGCATCAGTCCTAAAGCAGGCGTAAAATAATTAGCCGAACTCAGTTCATTTTCACAAAGTTCAATGGTCTAGAATATGCTATAAACAGGTGAAAATAAATTTTAGTAATTTGTGCATTAGTTTCAGCACATGAGAAGTTAGACGTTTGAACTGGGCAAAACAGCGATGATTGTAGCCGTCTTTTTTTTAAACTTAAAACTGTATTTTTATCAAGAAAAGACTTCTGTAACTTAAAAGATCACGTTGGCTTAGAAAAGAAAAGTAATTATAAAAACATCGACTAGTTTTGAAAACTTTAAAGCTAGCTTAAATTTGTATCCTTAATATTCTTCTGACTGGTATTCTTTGCATAAAATAGATTCTTTTCGCTCGAAGGAATGTGATCACCGTGGACAAGACGATTCATATTTATTAGTTAATAAATATTAATCGTTGACCGTACTTTTCCCTTAAAAAATAAACAAACAAATAATCGGAAAGAGGCCCCACCGATTTTGTTTGAGTGGAGGGGGCGGCTGTACACAGACTAGATTTTGGCGCATTTTCTTTTTTACTTCGAACTTTTTCCTTGTGAAATTCTTCACCCTTACCCAGGCGGTGTTGAACATGGTCCACGTGACCAGTTTTGTCCAATCACGTCATTGCAGATGGCGGACTGATTCTTTCACCTTTTTCTGGGTAGTCTCTTCGATTTTCGCCGTTCATCAAGTGATTTACATTTTGTGGAAAAGTGCGAGAAGACAGATGTAGTCAAGCCGCAGTTCTTAAAACAATATAATGTATGCCTGTTTTCTATTGATATTGTTCTTTGTAATTGTTCATGCGCATAATCCCTTTGTTTAGTTAAGAGCTATTGTTTCTGCTTTTTAGGGACGGACCATTAGAAAAGTTATGGGGGGAGGAAGGGAATTTTCGATCCGCAGGAATTTTTTTTCGTTATCAAATTCCTTGTTTGAATTTTTTTCAGGCCCTTGCATGAATATTTCTTAGGGTTAATTGGCGTGCAAGAATTTTTTTAAATGAAATTTTCCCTTGCGCGAATTTTTTTTTTTGTTCGCTGGCCAGGCTAAAAAAATCGAAAATTCTGATAATTTGTCAGAAAAACCTCTTTGGGGAACAATCTTGGAAAAAAATATTTTCAGCTTTCAAGAATCGATAGTTTTCGAGAAAATGAGGAAAAACGAAAATAGCGGTTTTTACCTAATTAATTATGCAAAAATTAGAGTAAAAATGACCTACTTTATCGCGTCTGTACCGAGGCAAGATTCAAAGCTATAAAGCAGAAATATTTTTGTTTAAAAGAATTCTATCTTTTCTTTCTATCCATGGTACGTTTTAAATCACAAACATGATTTGGAATTTTTTACGGTTTTTTAATAACTACCACCAATCGCACTTTTTAAAGTGGCTAAAAAATGAGCAACTTCAGAGGCAAAAAACTCACCTTGGAATGTGTGATACCTAGCCAAAGTGTATACTAGGACAAAGTTCAGCTCTTATATTAACAGAATATGAAATAAAAAATCTGGGTACTCCGGATTCGCCTTTACAAAATAAAAAGTTTCGTGACCACTAGTGGCGAAATGTCACAAATTTGCCTAAGTCAAATTTGTAGAGAAATGATGCCGCCTGATTTTTCTTTGTAGTTTCGATACGTGGTATATTCGAAACGTAGGGGAAAGGACGAAAGCGCCTTTAAATGAAGCTAAAATTAAGTAAAGGATCTGAAAAATTGATATCCCTGATAACAAATTGCTGTGAAGGTTGGTGACACAATGTGGCAAATTTGCATATAAATGCATCTGCATATTCCTTTCGTACACAAGGACGGGTTTCAATACTGTTAGCATCACGCAATATTTAAGGTTTGAAATTGCATAACCAAGAGAATAGCTAATGTTAGATGTTTTGTAATTTGTATGTTAGCTCTTCTAAATTGTACATTATAAAATTAAGGTTGCTCAGCAATTGTTGTCATTGTTGTTGGGTGTTGGAGTACTGTATTCTGCAATTGCGTGACCGTTGTCAAACTCAGCACAGTCAGACTTTATTTTCACCGGTACGATAAAAAAAAATGTGAGCTTATGAAGTGTGTAAAGAAATATTATTCATGTCTGATAACTCAACTTTACTTTATTCACCTGAATGAATTTCACCGTCATACATCTTTCTTGGAGTGGGCACATGCTTTTATGGTACCGATAGTTCATTCGTCAAGGCATTTTGAGGGATTTTCCATTAATAACACTATACATCAGGCCCTGTAAGTTGTTAATCAACAAAAATCCGAAATAGTTAATTTTCTCAGTAGTTTTTCAAAGTTATATTTTGGTGAAATTGCCACGTCTCGCATATTAAAAATGACGTAAGTAAAGACGAGATTAAAGTAATCATTGCCCCCTTTCCTCTCTTTTCTGAAATTCTTCCACCTGCTCTTTCTGCCTCTTGACTGTTCGTGCGTTCAACACTATTAAGTCCAGAAATGTTTTCGAACACCCAAAGATGGTCAAAGATCGCCAAGTGGACCGACCCGTAATTCTGCCATTGATTAGTTGAAACCTTCATTGAACGGACCCTCACGGATCCTTGCAATTGTCCTCTAATAGAAAAAGTAAATTAGATGGAGGGAGTACTGCCGACACTGGGGTCGTTTTGGTGTTTTTTTTTTTGTAACCATGAATATTCATCATGAGCCCAGGCAACATTTAGGGTAAAAAAATCTACTTCCAATTTTCTATTCACCTTCTTTTCTCTACAGATTAATTAAATGTCCCTTTGCTGAAAAGTTAACCAGCCAAACTTTCTTGCAAAACAAAGACAGTGGGAAGACGATCAAGTGCCGGAGCAACAAAAGAAGAAAGGCAAAGGGAAAAAAGAGAGCGGGAGAGAAAGATCGATATAGGTTCGAAAGAGATGTCCAAATTTTGGCTTCTGTGAATACTCCATAAATGCTTCTAAATTAGTGTACGTCCAATTGAGCAGTCTTGTGTCGCAAATCTCTTTTTCAGCCATTCCCATATCAAGCTAGCTGGCTAGCCTGCATAACAGGCGTGCGTTTTTCAGGCGAGCGAAGGCAATTAAGCCCGAAGCCGGAGCGAATGCAAGCGCGAAGCGAGTGAGGAGAGCCATTAAGGGGTGTGTCTGGGGCGGAATGCAAAAAAACAATGGTACGTGGACGGCCGTTGTTTTTTCTACGTCTTTCCCGTCGCGCTTGTCTGGCGTTTCTCACTCATTTCGCGCTTGCCTTCGCTCTCCTGCAAAAACGCGAAAAAAAATAACGCCTGTTATGCAGGCTACTAACTGGTTGAAAGCTGGTCCAAAAAGGAGGACTTGGTCAAAAGGCGGGGTTTTCTTCTACTAAAATTGGCCGTCAAAAAAGAGTTAAAGGGGCTATGCCAAGCCAATTGCTAGTTCATTTTAAAAAGCTATATGGTCTTCATTTCGCATAAATTTAGTTCCAAAAATTATGGTCCAGTTTTGTTATGTAACACTATATTTAGGCACTGAAACTGTTTCCTGTCGCTTCTGTTGCTACTGATGGCCAGGATGGACATGGACTGAAAATTGGAAAAATTGGGCCATCTTTTTCAATTTTCTTTGAATGCATCACCCAAAAAGATATTTTCAGCTAGTGTTCCCTGATAAAATGATATCTTCTTCATACCCCACATGTAACTCTACAATGAACTTTTTTTGACTGGCACAGGAATCCAGCCTATGGAATCATATGCGATGATTCATGTGATGATGTAATAGTCCTGTATGCATCATAACGAATCGTAATATGATTTGACAAGTACCCTAAACATCATAATATGATTCCATTGGTATCATAATCATCATTATGATTTCTATAGGACTATTACAATCATCTCTGGAATCATAACTATGATTTACAGTGCTGTTAATCATTGCTATGATTCCAACAGGACGTGTTGAGCGTGTTGATGAGGGCTTTTGGAGAGCTGAAACCCATTTCTTTTCGTTCGAAAAGAATGTCTCTTTCCTCTGGGGATAGACTGGATGCTTCATTTGGCTTGTTTCCTTTCCCCAGCCGTTTCAAATGTTTTTGTTTTGATTTGAGTGCATCTCTTGTTCTCGCAAAGTTCTGCCCCGTGATAACCGATTCACTGTAGCGGCATTTTTTTGAGATAACGCTCAATCGATGCTATAAAGCCACGTAGAGTTGAAGGCTCGTACTCATCTCCGTTCTTCTTTCTCACAGAAAGTAGGAATCTGCTCAAATAATTGTCCAGTTCTTGTGGAGGTATCTCTTCAACTTGTCTATTCTCCTTTTCCTTTGCCATGAAAGAACTCAGTAGAGCCATGTCATTTTTCGCCTTTTTTCGCGTGTTACTGTTTTCCTCGTTGTCAATAAATTTTTCCACTTCTCTAATGTCAAACGTATAAAATCTTTCTGCCATGTTTGCTGGTAATTTTCACAAATTATAAGCGGAAAACAACCGAGAAACAGAGAATGAGAGGTAACTTCTTTCGCAAACTCGCGAACGATTGAAAACGATCCTCGCCGATCAAACACAGCAGCAAAATCGTCAAAGCTGCAAGCTGCCGGCGCGTTGTGATTTTCCCGGGCCTGAGAGAAATGACGTCACAAATTACTGAAATGTGATCGGTTTATAATTTCACATGTAAAAATATCGTATTTTTACGTGTGTTCAGATACCACATTTCTCGGTGGTAGAAATCCTTGTAAAACACTGCAGTTTATATAATAAAAGTATTTCTTATGTGGACCTTTATTCACAGACTTTAAAAAGGATAGACAAAGGATATAGATTTTGAAACAAATAAAATTCAATCGTCTGTTAAGTATACAAGCCTCATTCTATGTACTATAGTGCAAAGTTGGGGCATTTTTAAACGACTTAAAAAGACTTTCTGCCAGGGAACAGCCATTTGCCTACACAAGGGGCAACCAAAGAAAATTTGACATCCTTTCGATTTTGGTCTTAAGTTTTACTTACAGAGAATTTAAAAAAGGTCTTTATTCAAGATTTGGATGGGAAATAGAAAAGTTGCACATTTGAATCTGTTCATTAAATCAATCATCCATTCTTCTTTATTGGTTGGTTAAGTGAAATTCATGCATCATCTTACAAGGGTAAGCCAAAAGCACTCTCATGTTAAACACATGGTCCACATGTAGTTCGATTCTACTGTTACAGGAATGACAGATGGCTGACCCCTTCTAATTATGACGATAAATCTTTTCTACTTAGTAGTTTGGTTTGCTCGATGACCTTGTGGCTTTGGGTCATTCTTTTTTTTTATTCCACCCCAGACCACTTAACACCAGAGCACAGGCACCTCTAGAGCCAACTAGTGAATTATTAAAGAAAGAACTCAGTTACTCTATGTATTAAAGCAGTTTAGGCAAAGATAAGATTCCTCACGTCACACACAAATACAAGCAGCCGTTAAACTTCAAACTGAAACTAAATAACCATAATTAATTAAAGGTTTAAAATAATTAAATGTTAAATTTTTAAGGTCCTTCGAAGCATAATTATAGCATAATTATTAACTATGATTAAGCCTCCTACATGTAGGTTTATCTTTCCAAATTTCAAACTCTTGGCGATCACGACAAACAAAACAAAGGCCTTTTTTAACTGGCCAATCGTGGCGCGTACTCAAATCTGGGTACACAGCCCCCAAATCGGGGCTGTTTCACAGACGGAGTTAACCAGACTTTAATTTCGTCTGCGCGCACGCTAATGCTCTCCATCACTGTGCTGCACTCAAAACAAATGAATTAGTCAAGTTAAAACATGCACAGATGAAAACAGTATGTGGTCCTTGGTCTGGACGAAAAAGACGTAAATGAGCATTTCTCATCTCGGAAGAAGAGTAGTGAGCTGAAATTTGTCCTAAAGTTGCCGTAACATTTTACTAACTTGTGACAAACCGTGCAAATGTGTGTTGTGCAGTTACGATGCAACATCTTCGAAATTGCCACCATTTTAAATGAATTCAATCAAAGTTTAGAGAGAAAGAAAAATTTGTCGTCACTTATTTACGTCCTCAAGAAATTTGATAAACTTCCCATCAGGAAATTTTGTCTTTTATTTTATGTCCACTTTTTGCTTGGCTTATGTAACGTCCAGTGCCTGGATCAAGAACATAGTATGCAAAATTTACTTTGGAATATTATCTATAACTTTAATTTTAAAATTCAACCCATCAACCGAATTTTTTTTGCAAGTTGAAAGATATGGCGTACCATGGGGGCCAAAATTCAAAATTGAGATTTGACATTGTACTTTCAGTATTCTTTCTTATTTTGCGATTGTACATTCAAGTTTTCATTCGCTA